GATGCACTCAAGCGCTGGATTGAGGTCATAGATCAATATGACTTCAAGCTTGAGTATCTGAAGGGAGAGTACAACAAGGTTGCGGATGCGCTATCCCGTAGAGCAGACTACCTAGGTGCACTAGTTTCCGACTTTGGTGTATCTGAAGAAATAACTCAATCATTGGTGGGAGCCTATCAGGAAGACCTTGTCACGATGGACATCATGGGCAAACTTCAGGGAAAAGACAAGGCCACGGAAAGTGAGTTTGTGATGGTGGACGGGCTACTCTATCTTGATAAGGCCGGTATTAAAAGGCTAGTCGTTCCATCTAGTGAACGTTTGCGTAGTTTGTTTTTAGGAGAATGCCATGACGCAACCGGGCACTTTGGTTACAAAAAGACGAGTGTTAATCTAGTACAACGATTTTGGTGGCCTGGAATGCTAGATGACGCGAAGAAGTATGTAGAGACCTGTCAGGTCTGTCAGCGGGACAAGCCGCGAACTCAAGCACCGCTTGGGTTGCTTAAGCCCTTACCTATCCCCGCTGGTCCAGGACAGAGTGTTTCCATGGATTTCATGGATACCCTGGTGACCAGCAAGAGTGGCAAGAGGCACATCTCCGTCATGATTGATCGATTCACCAAGTACACTAGACTAGTTGCCATGCCAGAGACCACAAGGACGGACCATGTCATCAAGTTGTTCCAGGACAACTGGGTGCGTGACTTTGGTTTACCAAAGACAATCATTAGTGACAGAGATGTCCGTTTCACAAGTGAGCTGTGGAAGAAGACTGCTGAGCAGATGGGCAGTCAACTTCATATGACTTCAGGGAATCATTCTGAAGCCAACGGACAGGTCGAGCAAATGAATAGAGTTGTACARCACATGCTGAGGCATTACATCAAGCCCAGCCAGGATGATTGGGATGAGAAGTTGCCTCTCATCGCCAGCCTGTACAACAACGCTGTACACAGCAGTACCGGCGTTAGTATGAGAAGTTGCTCTAGACTTCCTCCTACCTGAAAACCGATCCTCTGCAACTCCAGGCACACTTGAGTATGGTGTGGAGTATGAGAAGTTGCTGCAGCAAGCTGTCGAGCATATTAAGAAAGCTCAGCAAGCAATGATTGCTTCTGAGAACAAGCATCGACGACAGTCCTCATTTCAGGTAGGGGACCGTGTCTGGGTCAAGGCTAGTGAGCTAGGACAGGAATTCGGTATCTCTAGAAAACTAATGCCTCAGTACTTTGGTCCTTGGGAAGTCCTAGATGTAGTGGGGGATGAGATGGATGGTCCTACCTATGTTATCCGTATCCCTGGACACCTACACACTCACCCTGTCTTTCATGCCTCAAAGCTTGC